AGAAAATTGAGCTGTATGGAAGTCCAACAGCCAAGGAATTAAACAAGTCACGTTATCCAGATGGGTAGGAGGGGAGGAAGTGCAGAACAGGCAGTCCCATACCCATGTGTGGCAGACAGAAGTCAAGAGGGACACCTTGGAAGTGAGGGATCCGAGCCCCACACAAGTCCACCCAGCCTAGGGTTCCAATGTCAGGATGATAAGTCCCCATAACTTCTGGCTGTGAAAACTAGTGGGTGTTGTAGTGGTGGAAGAAACTGCAGGATTCTCAGGCGTTTCCTCTTAAAGGGCCCACAGCGGACTTAAGATTTACAGAGACTCACTCCCTCTGGGCTCCAGCACTGAGGCAGCAGCTTATAGGGCACCAGTGGCATTTTGGGAGCAAGTGAAGTGTCTGGCATCAGGGCAAGTGCTGGGAGACAGTTTCCTCCTGGACAAAACTGCAGAGGCCAGGCAGTAGCATTGTCCCCTTTCTGAGCCCTCCCCTACACAAAGCCACAAAGTGGTGACACCATATCTGAGATTTAGATTATTTTAGATAATCTAAGGCTCCTTCCCATCCAATTTACAGATGTGCTTTTCTACAATAGGCCGAGCTACTAAGGCAGGGAATCAAAGCAGCTCTACCTAATACACAGAAGCAAACAGAGAAGCTGCCAAAATGAGGAGACAAAGGAATATGGCCTAAATAAAAGAACAGAACTCCAGAAAAATGACTAAACAAAATGGAGATAAGCAATCTATCAGATACAGTGTTCAAAACACTGTTTATTAGGATGCTCAAGGAACTCACTGGGTCCTTCAACAGCATAAAAAAGACCCAGGCAGAAATGAAGGTTACACTAAGTGAAATAAAGAAAAATTTACAGGGAACCAGCAGTGGAGTAAATGAAGCCAAGAATCATTTGGAACGTAAGGAAGAAAAAAACATTCAATCAGAAGAGCAAGAAGAAAAAAGAATCCCCCCAAATGAAGATAGGCTAAGGAGCCTCTGGGACAACTTCCAACATACTAACATTCAAAACCAGGAGTACCAGAAGGAGAAGAGAAAGCAAGAAATTAAAAACTTATTTGAAAAAATAATGAAAGAAGACTTCTTTAATTGGTGAAGGAAATAGACATACAAGTCCAGTAAGCACAGAGAGTCTCAAAGAAGATGGACACAAAGAGGACCACACAGGACACATCATAACTAAAATGCCAAAGATTAAAAATAAACAGAGACTCTTAAAAGCAGCAAGAGGAAAGCAGTTAGTTACCTATAGAGGAGTTCCCATAAAACTTTCAGCTGATTTCTCAAAAGAAACTTTGCAGGCTAGAAGAGACTGGCAAGAAGTATTCAAGATGATGAAAAAAGCAAGGACCTACAACCTAGATTACTCTCTCCAGAAAAGCTGTCAATTAGAATCAAAGTACAGATAAAGTGCTTCCCAGACAAGGTAAAGCTAAAGGAGTTCATCACTAGCAAGCCAGTATTATATGAAATACTAAAGGGACTTATTTGAGAAAAATACTATCAACACTATGTACATTAAAATGGCAATACATTCACAATGATCAACAACTGAATCTAAAAAACAAACTAAGCAAACAAACAGAAGAGAAACGGAATCATAGCTATTGAGATTGTTTTGAGGGTTATTTTTGGGAGGGGTAGGAGGAGAATGAGGGAAAAGGTACAGGGATTAAGAAGCATAAATGGTAAGCACGAAACAGACGGGGAGGTTAAGAATAGTATAGGAAAAGGAGAAGCCAGAGAACTTAGGTGCACAACCCATGGACATAAACTAAGAGGGGATTGCTGGAGGGAATGGGGGTACCCGGTGGATGGGAGCAAAGGGATAAAATTGGGACAAGTGTAATAGCATAATCAATAAATGTATTTCAAAAATTAGAAGAGGATACACCAAAAAAAAAAAAAAGTCAGCCATACATCATTGTGTTAGGGAATGTAGGATGCTCATCAGTCCTGTCGTGTGCTTGTGCTTAACCTGTTTTATATTAATTTAGTAACATTTTTCAGGTTTTGTGATGGGGGCTAAGGATACCGTTTGTCCCAACCCTCGGATCCATTCGTCTTTCCTCTTTCGTCAGGGTTCCACTTCAGATTCTGCCTCTTTATTCTGGTGATTAAAATTGACTTGTGCCCATTTTTTGCATTTGATTTTTTTGACACTCCCCCATTTAGTTCCTCCTTTTAAAATAACAGACAATTTCTCTGTCTCCTCTTGTTACCGTGTATAAATCTACAACCTTCTGAAGTAACTCATGCTTGGAGACTCTTCCATCCATCTCTTCCCCAAGGAGCTTTGTTGCTCCTGTTCTAGCAGTTTGGTGCTTAACACGAAGCTCTTGGTGTTGGTGGTGGTGTTCTCTAAGTGTAGTCTGTACGCTTTCTTTGGAGTGACACACACTTTCCTCCCTGTGGTGGGGGATCACTTAGGGAAACGATTCGAATTAGAATCTGGGCCCAAATGTCTACTGCAAATAATCACTCCATAAAAAAAGCTAGGTTTTACACCAGACATTCTCAGTCTCCTGTCCCCTTGCCCACAGGAAAGAGTGGGGAAGGAGCATCTCATTGGCCTGGCCTGGGTCATACTAATTATCACACGTTGACAGAGGCAGGTGGTTGAAATCTAGGTGAAAGGTGAGTGGCATACATTCAACTCAGTACATATATTTTGGCATATGGTCAGCACCGATTATATATATTCTTGGAATATGTGTGTTGAAGGAAAGGTTCATAGTATAGATCTGTTAGTATAGTATAGATCAGAAACAGCACACAGTGAGTTTCTGATAAATGCAAAACATTGAAGGGGATGGAGCTCAAAATACAAATCTTTTTAATTTCTATGTTTCTGTTTTCTGTGTTCTTAAAGACTAGGTACATTAAGTGGTAAGTCACCTTGCTATGAATTAATGACACATTGATTGAGCAAGAACTTTCAGGAATTTGTAAAAGGAAGTCACTAAGGCCCTGTCTTGAGCTTTCTGTTTTGGAGAATGTGTACGTGTGTGTGTGTGTGTGTGTGTGTGTGTGTGTGTGTGTGTGTGAAGAAGGGAGGGGTGAGGGGCCACAAAAACCTTTGGGTGAGAGTGGAAATACGGCGGCGTCATATGTATGAGGAAACCTTTGTACTGTTTGCATAACACATCTAGAACATGAGAACCATCCTTGGGAAATAGCTTCGTTAATTCAAGAGTCTGCCTTGTCAAATTGTCTCGTGTTTAAGATTACTTGAGTTAACTCATAAGAGTCAATGGGTGCTTAAATACATGTTGGACCATTGAACCTTGCCTGATTGGTTGTTCTTTCAGTAAGAAAATACTGTAACCCTGAAAGTTTCCCTCATGAAGATAGTCTAGGAGAAAGGCTTGGCTCCAACAGAGTTTCCACCCAGCCCACCAGTCATCCTTCCCAGTTGTGAGGAAGCACACAACGCTGGGCAGACTTCCCTTTTAATGGAAAAGCCCAAGACCAGGGAGTAAGACCAGCTGTTAAAATTACAGGGTGACAGCACACATCATGGGTTTCTAGTTGCAGTCTTTCCACTACTAGTGTTAAGTCTTAAAAGTCACAGGTAATTGCTGTCCGAGGCAGGGTTGTGTATCTGCTTGGGTTCTTTGTTATTAACAGCAGAAACCAACTCTCATTAACTTAAGCAGAAGGAACTGCATTGGAAAGATATTAGGGAATTGATAAGAAGGCCAAAGAACTAGTTTGGGAATAGATAGGAAACAAGACGAATCTGAAAGTCCAGGAACCAAGACCTCCCTAAGGTATTTGCAGTAGTTGCGGCGTGGACGGGGGGGAAAAGGTAAGGCCAACCCTTCCTGGCCTCCTGCGCCCCTGATCATGGGAAACCATGGGGAAGGTGCATCTAACCGGCCCCACTTGGCTTCTGTTACCACCGCACCTTGGTGGAGGGAAAGTGGGGGACTTCAGGTCTTATCCAAGAAAGGTCATTCTCCAAAAGGAAATTAGGATGCATTTATTGAAGGTTATGCTAAATAGCCACAAGCAGCAGGTGGCCGCCACAGGGCAGTGGAAGAGATTGAATGACAGGAGGAGGCCAGGACTCGTTTTCCTTTGGTAAATTAGAGTTAGAAGCGTGTGTTCCTGTGCATTGGCCACGAGGCCTGTCTTCTTCAGGCCCTCCGTATGCCCGCCTTACCCCACCCCTTTCTCTTAGTTTGAGCCCTAGGAGGACAGTCCTATTGTAATGTTGATTTGTACACATGTTGATACATGCATGTCAACGGTGTTGGTGATGAAGCAGTTAGTTATCTGTTGATCAATTTTGAGCAATTTATCTTTCTGTGAGGCCCTCTTCCTGGAACTGACTCAGTGTTTCCCATCGGCCCTGTGGCACGGTTTACTAGTCAACCTGCTCTGTCCCTCACTGCCCAGTGAGGGAGGGTTTTGTGTGTCAGGTGTGTTCATCAGTAGCCATACTTTTTCCTTTTGGACTTTCTAGATGAGTAAACTCATACCCCAACTTGATTCTGGTTGGTTGTCTGAGTTGATTTGTGCATGGAGCACATAGTTGCTAAGTAAACATTGCTTAGTGATTAAAGCTGTACCTTTAAGGGAATATTAATTTACCCTGCCAAACCCTATTGCAGAAATGGCAACAGAATCTGACACCTTCTTCTGTATTCTCCATCTCAAAAGGAGAGTGTAGTCTTTCAAAAGGAAATGAATTTTAATATCCTGGAATACAGGGAGGGCATGGATCTTTTTACTTATCTATGAACTTTTACCAACATTTATAGTGTACCTCCTGGGTGTATGAAAATTGATTAAATGCAATTTTTATCAAATTAATTTTTAAATGGTTTAATGACATGCCTATCTTAGTTCCTGCAGAGCTCTAAATTTCTGTAGCTCTTACCATCAACTTCTGAACTGTGAGTCTAATGCTCAGCAAAAACATTCTGGACATTTTATGGAGTGTTGTGAAAACTTAACCCAATGTGTTTTGTTCTTGCAGCACCCAGTGCTTGATGAGCCGATAGCTGAAGCCGTCTGTATTATTGCAGACACGGATAAGTGGAGTGTCCAGGTGGCCACAAGCCAGAGGAAAGTGATGGACAGCACGAAGCTAGGCCAGGATGTCCTGGTCTCTAGTCAGGTGTCTAGTTTACTTCAGTCCATTCTACAGCTTTACAAGCTTCACCTCCCTGCTGATTTTGTAAGTATTTGTTCTCTTGTCAGCAAAGAAATATAGTTAAAAAACACCTTTAACTATACTTTGAAGAAGGTACTCCGAGATACATCTCTCTGTCGTCTAAGTAGTGGCAGCGTGGCATGACAAGGAGACCGGTGAACATAACTGGGTTAGTCTAGCTTGGCCAATTGGCTGTGTGATGCTGGACTAGCCCAGGTGTTTCTGGACCTCAGCTTTCTCCTTTGTAAGATGAAGATAGTACCTGCTCAACAAGCATGTTGTGAGAATCCTTTGAAAATGAGGGCTAAGGTATTGCTTTTTAAACCATCAAAGCAGAGTTTAAACAGCCAGGATACAGTAGTGGCCACCGCCTGGGCATTAAGGTCCAGTAGCCTGAAGTCAGACCAAGTGCAGCCAACTGTGTGACTTCTCAAAGTCTCAATGATCTGTGTAGCTGGGGAAATAATAGACCCTAACTCATTATGAAAATCAGGTAATACTAGTCTCATCAATAAATATTAATGGTTGTAAAGACTGACGACACCTTTTCACTGAAACCTTTACTTGGGCTTTAAACTGAAGCTTACTCCTGCACGACATCTCTCTCGAGTAAAATGAGAAGAACCTATGGGTTCCCGCGACCTAACTTCTCTTCTACGTTTGAAGGCAGATTTTCTTTTTAGTAGCAAGTTACATCATTCCGATTTCGAGGTGGAAATCTCCTTTTCTGTAAGGGAAGGAAGATATATTAGAGTTTTTAGTTTTTTTACTGTTATAAGTATTCACCAAACTTTTATATTTTATTCTCAAATATATAACTCTTACTACTTCTGACATCTTAGTTTTCCAAGCAATAAATTACTAATTCTTTTGTTGCTAATTCTTTTTACTTCATTTGGATAGAAATATATTGAACCTCTTCATAATGACTTAACCTTGCGAAACTAAGATCAGAGGAAATTTCATCTGCAGTTTAAAAATTCTCCGTAAAAATCATTTGAATGAAATGTGATTAAATGCCTATTAGAGCTTTCAGTATGAAAGGAGATAGTAGCTATTTAAAGTTTCAGAAGTTAAAAATCAAAGAAATTCATCTCAGGATTAAGATGCCAGAAAGGAGAAGGAAGGACTCACAGCTCTATTAAATAAGCAAGCCTTTTTAAAAACAGTTCTCAACACTTTGATTTCAAGAATAGTGTGCATGCCATGTAGGCCAACATTCTCTTTGACGTTGCAACATACGTTTTCCACAGAGACTGTGAAAACCCTGCAAATCAACTAACTTAAAACAAAGGAGTCAGTGTAATGTGAATGTTCTTTTTAATATTTTATAACACTTATTAAAAAGTTTATATTTACACCACAAGGAACTGAAACTTAACAGGAGAAAGACCCTTTTACCACTAAACTGTTTATTTGGGGGAACATTTTCACGAGGATTGCTGAACTCCTCCTTGCTGGGATTGTCACGCTGAGTCACTTACCAGTTGTGTTTCATCCACCCAACACCAGGCATTTGAAATTTTAAGCCAATGAAAAACTGAAAAGATTACTTTTCTAATGGATAATTTTTCCATGTCACTGATCAGCCCAGATGGTCAAGATCAACATTCTCAAATGCATCTGTTAATCTTTTTTACCTTGAAAATAGCAGGTGTAATGGTCTAGAAGAAAATGATGTATGATAGCATTACCCTTGCCAGAGCCATCAGGTGTCTTACTGAAGATGCTCGGACAGCTCCGCCTGCCAAACGCAAAAGCATTTGCCTCTGGTGAAAGGCACAGATGGCGGCTGTTCTCTAAAAAATGAAGTTGGACACGATTCCAAGGGTAGAGATGTCCTGAAAGTAATTGTCCTTTATTTATTGTTACTAAAGACCTAGTTAAAATACAGTCCTGAGAGAGAGAGAGAGAGAGAGAACTTCAAAATATCCTGTTCCAGTCATTCTGCTTGTGGGAATGTGTTATACCCAAACAATCTGATATGTAGGAAAAAAATATCAAGAGAGATACTCTTTACAGAGTTATTTGTAATAACAGAAATGTGAATTGATATGTTAATAAAATAATGGTAAATCACAGTCTGGAAAATCGTTTAGCCATGAAATTACACTGATAAAGAATTTTTACTAACATGAGGAAAGGATTATTATAAAGTTTTTTAGAAGCAGGAAATAATTGCACTTAGAGAATGATTTCAGCTGTGTAAAAAAATGCTTTTTTGAAAAGACTAGAAGATATATATATATATATATGAATGAAAATCTTAATATCATTGGAAAAGATAAACTTTGTACAAAAACCTATTCTTATACTATTAGTGATAAGGTTTGAGATGGCTTGTAATTTTTAAGTGTATTTGAAAGTGTATTTTTAAGTATATTTGGTTATAATTGTGAACTTGGAAGTGAATTAAGAGAACTCTGGCTCCTGGAACACTGGCAGCAGCCTGTGTTCCTGTCCTCACTATGACTGTCATTGGCTTCGCAGTGCATCATGCATCTTGAAGACAGACTGCAGGAGATGTACCTTAAAAGTAAGATGCTGTCTGAATATCTTCGTGGACACACACGAGTCCATGTGAAAGAATTAGGTGTTGTACTGGGGTGAGTTCTATGATGTGTCATCATTTCCCCTGTGATGGGGTTGTCCCTAGCCCTGTACCCATTTGGCTTGTGCCACCTAAAACCTGCTGGCCCCAGTGCTCCATCAAAGTGCTCGGGGACCATCAGGTGTGTGCCCCCCCAGAGAACAGCATGTTCTTTGTATCTGATACCGGAATACCATGCCCGGAAATCAGCACGGGACTTTAAGCCAGTGGTATGTTATGTTAGTCTCCCTGTGTTATTTTATGTTTGGAAGTGAAACACTCAGCTTCACTCTGTGCGCCCGTTCCTAGTTATTTCAGTAGGATGTCGAAGGCCCACGCTGTCAGACACGCAGCGGCAGCCTGTGCTCCCCTTCTGCGTCTGGGGGGAGGCAGGAAGGGCGTTGTGGCCTTTCGGGGCTCGCCTGCATGCTGTCTGGGTGATGGCTCTTCCCTCCCTTTGATGATGAGCCCGGAGGAGGAGACGCGCTTGTGTTACTGATAGTGCGGAGCGTCTTCCTGAGGGTCTTTGCCATGACTTCTCTAGAGAAGAAATCCTGGCTTTGTTTTGCTCTGCTAAATATTTCAACACACTAACAAAAAGATCGTGGTTATGGGGACTGTCGCCCTACCTATGATGATGATTCCCCCAATTTGGGCAAGAAAATATTATACATGTGTTGTCTATTTTGAAATTTTCTATTAAGTCTGCTCATCAAAGTGTCAAGACCCAGACCTTTGCATTCTTGTCAGACTTTTCATCTTTCATACTCAGGACTTACTGTGTGGTTTGGCTCCTAGCATTTCCTCTTATAGAATTTCCTTACCTATTTCATTTTTAAAATAGTTTCCCCTGTTGAGGCACTTGTTTTTGCAGTTAACTTACAGAGTGTCTCTTTGTTGTGTTTTGTTCTTAGTTTTGGTTCACCAGCCTCATACTTGCATCTTGTGCATGAGGTTTCCCATTGCCAGATGGGTGCCTTCTATTTCTGGGGCTCTCACCTGGTCCCTGACTCGACACCTGTCCACCATCCACACTGTTAATCCACATTGTTATCGTGGGATTTATGTGCACTTCTCGGCTCTGGGCCCTCTTAGTCCCTTATCAGTGGGAGTCATACCCGGCCTTTCTCCAGCCCCCCCTTCCCATGGTCAGGGCCAGCAGCACCACAGGGGCCAGAGAGCCTCTTGTCCACCTAAAATCACATCTCTGGGAGCATTCTGGGGAAAGCATATAAAAACCCCATGAGGTAATGCCAGCTGCCTTTTTACATTTCTTTTTTCATTTTTTGTGGAATTCAAGGCAGAGATGAGGACATATTTCACAGACGGAAGCAGTCCTTAATTTTTTCAGGACATTTGTCAGCACGTAGTCTGTGACAGGGCTGTACCCACCTCTGCTTTAAGAAAGGCAGTCACAGTTGTGTTCATCTGACATGTAATGTCTTTTGATCCACTATCTGCTAGTGTTACTTCGCTCTCAGAGATGGTTTTGAATGTCACCACTCAAATGCCTAGTGAGGATCTATGTTGTATAGCCTATTGAACAAACCCCCCAGGTTTTGGAAGAAATTACCACCTTCATTATTTTCCAAAGAGTACTTGTAAGTTAGGTGCAGGGTCAGTATGAATGCAGGATGTCGACTGGAGGAATAAGGAGATAGTGGAGGAAACATGGAAGTACAACATAGTGAGGTTGCACAGCGCACACAGACAAGCTATGAATTTAAAACGAGACCCCAGCCATGGTTGGACCACTCTGTGTCCATACATGTGCCCCCAGCACACCTGCCTGCCCCTGTCCTCTGGGCCGGTCAGCTGGGAGCTCACGTCAGATGGATAGGTTTATCGCCTTTCCGCCTCTCTTGCTTTTTCTCTGGTTTTAAGCAATGATCTAGCAAACTTGGTACCCAGCAATAATACTTGACTGCAAAATCATGCTACTTTAAAGTAATCATCTTTTCTTTTTCAATGTCCAGGATTGAATCGAACGACCTGCCTCTGTTGACAGCTATTGCCAGTACTCATTCTCCTTATGTTGCTCAGATACTCTTATAAGCTAAAGCTCAGGACAGTTCTTCCTTGGAAGAAACAAAAAACACAGATTCTCAACTGAAGGAGAAAGGAATAAGCTCTTGTGACATCGAAAGCATAAGAAGAGCAAACAGAAATAGTCATTCCACCTCTTTGTTTTGTTTTGTTTTGTTTCGTTGCTGTCAAGTGGATGCTTCATTGGAACTTAGGTTTACCTGACATAATGGCATGTGTGTGTTTTATGAACACTGGAGGCCTTTTGTTGCTCACAAATCAGCAGAGTGACCTTTTTGATAGAAGGAAGCATAGCACTACACTAAACACTAAGCTCTCGGCACAGATTGCCTTGTGTGTTTGGACCGAATGACAAGTGACTTTGGAGCAAGAGGTGAACAGTGTACACACCATTCCAGGAGGAAACGTTTCAGAGCTTAAGCGTGAGCTCTCCACACTGGACAAAGCATTATTTTGCTGTTCTAAGAAGATAGTCGGAAAAAAGATTTCAGATTCCAAGGCAGAGTTCGCTTTTTACAAAAGGTGAAGTAAAGAAAGCCACGCTGTGCCGCCTTCAGCTCTGGCGGCTGCAGGAGTGACCGTCTGACATGAAACATAAAAGAAAATGGACTGTTGGGAAGAGTGCTTTAGGGACCCACTGTTTCGCATCTCGGAGTTTACCTTGTCTCAAATGTAGCCACAGGTGGGTTGGAGGTGGATTGTTGGTGCAATAAACCCAAGAATCAATGTAGCATCCTAATCCCATCAACATGGAGTTAGCAGCAGCGAAGTACACTGTCTGCTACCATAGGTTTAACCTTGTACTTTAGAGCTTTCAGTAGCCTCTTTAAGAGAGGCCATTTACCAAAGTTGTTTCTATAAATGCAAGTGTATTTGTTGCTAAATTCTTCCAGCCAAAGCCACTTTCTTCCTGTAATAGTTAATATAAGTGACTATTTGTATTTTAAAAGGCACAGCTGTACTGGTGGGAAATTAAACCTGCAACAGTTCAGGATGACTGATGAAAGTAATTAGTTTGAACACTTCTAAACAATTGATACCTGGTCTAAATTTTTACATTACCATCTCTGTGCCTTCTAATTCCTACATAGTTTTCAAAACACTGTTCTGGAAATTAACTTACCCATAGTATCAAACCTGCCAAAATGAGGAATTATTTGTTAGCATAGTTCACTTTAAAAAAAAACAACTTAATTTTCTGTTAATATAAAAGAAAGTTTACTGACCATGAACTATGACTGTGTCAGATGATGTACTGACATCCAGGATAAAGAAAAAGACTTAAAAAATTGATTATTAATGATGGGAGCTAATCTGGTAAAGCAGAACATTGTTAGCATCTTGATGATCTTGAGTACAGCTAATTATAACCAGGCTCCAGTTTCCTTTCATTGTCTTATAAATTAATTTCCGTCTTTTCCATGTGTTCTTCGAACATAAATTAATTTCCGTCCTTTCCATGTGTTCTTCGAACCTAAGAGTATGAAGTAACTTTCCTGTCAGGGTGAAAATGACTTCAGATTTTCTATTTGACAAAATCCTATCCTAAACACCAAGCTACATATGTTTGTCTCTTCTTTTGCAAATGTAAGTTAATTATTCGTTCAAAAGAGTGTAGCAGCAGTACCAATGGGGAGAAGTGGGTGAATTATTTCTTAGGATTAAGTCAGAGTCGCTGCCTTCCTTCCTCTCTTCTTATGATGTGAACTGTAGACAGGTGCATGAAAACTCTTACAGTCTTTCATTTTTATTTTATGTTTTTCTTTCATTAAGTTAACGCATTCTATTCTTCTTAGACTTTTCTTTTTTCTTTTTTTTTTTTTTTTGCCTAACATCTGAGTTCAGTGTTCTGAGTTCTCCAGTTTCACGACATCACTGCTTGTTGGCACACTGCACGGAGAGCGTGAACCTTACCTGCGGCTCAGCTCCCTCATTCGTCATTTGCTTTCATTACATGTAAATAGGTTGTAATAACTGATGCTACATCATTTCCCTCCTCTCTCGTTCCCTTTTTCTTGTTTACACGTTTTGGGCACTTTCCCTCACTCACCACCTTCCAGGGTTTCATAGGAAATAACTAGATACAAACTCAGTTCCATTCTAATGTGGCATGTTGAAAATTAGACCCACCTAGGGGGAAATTGAGCTTTAAAAGGCCGATTCTTAACTTCATGCATAAAATATTTAGCCCAGCCACCTCAAAGCCTGTGAAGATTTAATTTGCCTTTTCATCTATGATTCCAAAACACTCTCTTGAAAAACGTCTGCTGGGAACCACAGGGGGTCGCATGTGGGGACGGCTCAGTGATGCTCAGGGTTCCGGCCAGGACCCGACCCTCGCGGCTCCTACCTGCCAAAGCAGACCAAGAATGCTGCTGCTCTTTCTCGGGCCTCCTTTAAATTATATCCATGTGTTGTTTGTCTTAAATTCAACCTCTTCCCCAAAGTGGAAACGAAAAATAAAAATCTCACGGACTTGTGTTGAGATACACCCACACACCACAGACCACCCAGGGGCTTCATTTTGTCTTAGCCGAAGAGGCAAGAAAGGGATCCCACCCTCTCCCACGCCCACCTCAAACAAATAAAAATGCTTAAAAATTTTTGAGAAAACTACCTCAGTTGACAGGATTCCACCTTTAGGATTTCTTCAACTTTTAAGTCTTACCTGTTGAGTGTAACTTTTGTAGCATTTTGCTTCTTTAAGCCAGCTAGTGGGACATGACAGAGCAGAAGTGTGTACATGTTACTGTGATGGACCTCTTTCTAGCATGTCGCAGTTTTATTTTTAACAGATTGACAAGTGATATGAATGTAAAGATAATTGTGTACGTTCAAACGTGACAATGAAAATTGAAAATGTAGCTTCCATCCTTGTGCATAACTCCAAAGTATTTTATTTTTATCAGTGTTAAATAGCTTTTTGTACAGGCTTCGATCCATTTTTCTGAAGTGTGCTGTTTTTTAATGAAAGTAACTATAATCTTTTCACATCCCATGGAACTTCCGTTTACACATCACAACTTTTTAAACTTACCATATTTTTCAAAATTAACTTTTTGGAGGGAGGAAAATTCTTGCTTGCTAAATGAAACTAAACTGTTGTTTAGGCTCTTATAATTAGGTCCTGAGATTTTATAAAAATTTAGTCAGTAGCTTTTTAGGTTCTTCACTAGAATTGGTTGTACATAAAAATAAAGAATATACAGTGACCCCGAAACTTTTTAAATGTCTGATTTACCCACTGTTCTGTGCTTTTGGAAGCATTTAGTTCCTGCGTATCTTCATTGTTAAGTCGAGTCCTCAGCTCCTCTGAGCAGTGCGGACCATTTGTTTTGTGTTGTGCTTTGGGGAGGGGACATTTTATTATAATACTTGCCTAAATCAAGCAGCCCCCTCGGAATGTTAATTTTTAGATGTCAAAATTTGGTGAACTCTATATCCAGGAAGCAAGATTGCAATATGTTCAAATTTAAGTGGTATTTAAAAGAGGGGGAAATTCTGGGATTTGTTACAATGGAAGCTCCATGAAGACAAATTGATAGGGCTTTATATTTTTGATCACTTAAATAGCTATCAATGTCAATGTATGGAAATTTTTTCTTAAAACTTGTTCATGTTTATTTTGATCCATTTATTGTGGCATTTGGTGCAATAAACCTTTTGAATTTATCTTGAACATTTGTTTGTACGTTGAATCTTAGGGCTTAAGAACTGAGAGGTCTCATTTCCATTCACTCATGCTGCTGAAATGAGTTCACTAAGTATGTCAGTGATTTCCAACAGGGACGGTTTGGAAGGGTAGGGCCATTTTTACTCAGCAGAGTGATGGGTGAAGGGGTCGGAGGCTGCGGTGATGGCAGAGATGTAATGTGTGGGACGCACCATGGAACGAAGAATTGTCCCACCTCCTGTGTAACTGTGAAATATCGTGCTGGACAGTCACGTGAGTACAGAAAAAAACCACTTGTTTATAATGATCTAAGCTGAGAATTTAAGTCAGCTTTACATCAAAGCACAGTGTATTTTTCGATGGATTTTTAATATATGCTGTGTTTTTCAGAAATGCCACTGTGTATAAATTGAGGGGAGATTTTACCTTGTAAGGTTCAGAATTTAACAAGCATCATAATTTGCAAGACTTTACCAACAGCTATGGTAATCGTGGAGTTGAGCCACCAGTACAGTACATCTGTATCAGTCTGCATGTCTAAGGTTTGCACTCGTGGAGACTGGACATATAGACATTCAGTATCTGCCCGCTTCATTGTATTTTCTATTTTAATCTAGTGCCCTGGTATTTTTAATGTATTTAAAAATATATTACTAATAACTTTTCAAATAGTAACTCTAGTGCATTGTATTGGCTTACTATAAATTATATGTTTAAGTGGGTTGTATTATTTATTAATTTTATTGTAGGAAAGTAAATAGCATTATAAAATATTTACTATGAAATGGATGAGATCGTCGATATTCATTGTCTCAGGAAAAAATATGCTATTAAATGTAAGTGTAACTTTTGTAGCAACACAATACTATACTGAATTTTGGTTTTTTAAGACTAAAGAGACGAAAGGTTTTTCAAAATACTTTCTGCATTAAATGAAAATTTTAAATGGTTTCTATATTTCCTCAAGCAGCTTTAAAATCATGTTGATAAATAAGTTAAACAGACGCATACACACCACATTGCTTTTTGGTACCCTGGAGTCTGGACTGTTTTCTCAGATGTTTTATACGTATTGCTTCACTTAATCCCCACAAACCATGGTACCCAGATATTGGGTCAGACACCAGCACGGATGTTGTTGTAAAGCAATTTTGTAGATGAGATCAACATTGAAATGAGACTTTGAGTAAAGCAGATTGCCCTTCCTAATGTAGGTGGGCCTCGTCCAGTCAGTTGAAGAACTTAAGAGAAAACAGACTAAGGTCCCCAATGGAAAGGGAATTCTGTCTCTACACTGCCTTTGAACTTGAACTGCAATGTCATTCTTGCCTAGGTCTCCAGCCTGCTTGCCTACCCTGCAGATGTTGGATTTGCCGCCCTCTATGATCATGTGAGCCAAGTTTTAAATTCCTTAAATCAGGCAATCAATCTATACATCCCATTGGTTCTATATCTCTGGATAGCCCTTAAGTTCCTATATTAAGTACCTAATATAGGTACCTAAGCTATCAATCCAGTGATACATATGGTGACCCCAAAATGGAATTGGGTAGTCAGAATATGGTCATACCAAGGTATAGGAAGTAGACTTTGGGGCAAAGACCCTTAATACAGTAAACAGTACAGATGTCAGAGTAATCCCTTAAAGGTTAAGATACAAGTCACATGATCTCCGAATACGTTCTGCAAAGGAGATGTTGGAGAACAAGAAAAGCGGAAGTGAGAGACAGCCTTCTGAGAGAGCAAGGGAGGCGGTAATGCCCCGTTCACAGTGGAAGAAAAACAGGAGTCCTGCCATTGCGTGTTACTTACAGCCATGCTCCTCCCTCAGCGTTCGCAGGGATCTCAAATCATCAGCTCTCGTTCATTTTCTCATTTTCCAGTTCTCAATCTACTGACTTTTTCTACTCAATGTGTAAAAGGAAAATTTCACCCATACTAACCTTTTCTATGTTCCTTTATCTGCCCTCTTTATTCTAAATTTTTACTTCCTTTGACAACTAAGCTTTTTCTGCAGAGGTCTACTTGGCATTCATTCCTCTGCTTCCTGTTCATTCTCTCCTTACTACCTCATCCCCCCTCACCCCCTTCCTACTCTCCCGAGGTCTGAGGTTCAGTCCCTATTTTGTTCTTTTCCATTGTTACTGAAGGCTTTTCCCACACCCCGTCAGCACCGCTGTTGAGTCTAGTGCTTCCTTTGTGTCTCTGTAATATAATACATCACGTTTCCTCCTTTCTGCTTGCCCTCTGTTAGTCCCTGCTCATTTGTCAGTTGAGCTACCAAAATGCCTTTCAAACTCATCTCCCTTGCATGTCAAACAGTTTTTATCTTCCAGGTGGTGTCTAAATAATCTTGCCATAATAAAGTTGATTCTTAGCACTTTTGTTTAAAAGTCAGCCCAGTAAATTCCAAGTTCCTAGTATCATGCATTCAAATGACACCAGTGGCCCCTCTTCCCGTGTCTAATCACCACATATGTGTCTTGGCACACTATTTTCCAGCCATGTTGAACCACATGTACTTCCTCCAAAACACTAGGTGGCGATTGCTTTTGCCTTACCAACTTATTCTTCCCCATCTCCTTTCCGTTCCCTCCATCAAGTCCTTCCTCTTCCTAGCTCAACATGCATTAATTCACAGTCAGATCCTCTAGCCCCTTACCACTCAAGGTCCCTGGAGCAGCAGCAGATGCATTGCTTGGGGCCTGGAGAGAAATGCACAATCACAAAGCCCCATTCCAGACCTACCAAATTAGAATCTGCATCTGAACTTGATCTCCAAATGATTCCCACACACATTAAAATTTGAGAATGACTGCCTTCGCACCCAATGTGAATGAATGGATGAAGGAAGAATGTATCAAGCACTGAAATTATACCTATGAAATAGAAATGGATGATGATAAAAAAAAATGTGTCATAAATTTGATGACACTTTAGTGGCTATGTGGAGACAAAAAATGAATCAAATATCAAAAAGGGAAAATAACAAGTGGACTAGAAGGTAGAACTTGAGAAATTTGGAGAAACATAGAAAATACAGTTTAGACATTTGTCATACTTTCAAAAATATTTGTAAGCATTTTAGGTAAATGTATACAAAAATGATGCATACTGTTAAACATCATAAATTACATTTTAGAAGTATTTTAACTGCATTCCAAACTTAGGTTTATAAGTAGAAATCCAAACCCAAGGACCTGAATATATAAAATACTCCCACTTTGAGCCATCTATCTTGGTAAGAAAACATAATATTATGTACAGCATTATGCTTCTAATATTTCCCCCAAAGCACTCAGTACCTCGGACAGATTTCTCCCTTTTTGAGGCTGCTTCCAGTGCATGGCTCTGAGTTCTCTAGGGTAAGAATGGAAAAGTGCTGGCATTCCTGATAAGCACAGTGATGGCAGCCACTCACCGGTGGCTAGTGTGGGATGTTGTGTTGGCGGCTTTGCACACGTTTAGCCATTATTTGCTTTTGAATTTGTAAGTGCACTCTCTTCACTTATTTTCTTTAAGATTTTATTTATTTATCTTTAGAGGGGAAGGGCAGGAGAGAGGGAGAGAGAGATATCAATGTACATTTGCCTCTCATGCGTCCCCTGCTGGGAACTGGCCTGCAACCCAGGCATGTGCTCTGACTAGGAATCAACCACAATCTTTTGGTTCTCAGGCCCGTGCTCAATCCACTGAGCTACACCAGCCAGGGCACTTCACTTTATTTTCATTGAAGAGGATTTATATTAGGTGCAGGGGAGGCTTGAGTACTTATTAAAGTGTTATCTGTAAGAATCTTGTGAGATGGCCCCCAAAAATGGACTTGGGAAACAAGTTTCTAATATATCTCTGGATATAGAAGAAAGGATAGTTGATAAAAAGATTATTTTGAGTGATACAGTGTTTTGTTTATCTCTGGAAGGGAAGAGATGTGACCAAGTGAACGATTACTCTCACCAACAATGAGTTAAACCTGCCTCAGGTGCCTCTTTGATGTGATGTACTGAGAATGGCAGAACATGACTTACCTGGGATTCCTGCCAGAAACACAAAACCCGAATCTACTCACGAGAAAGCGTCAGATAAATCCAAGTCAGATAAATCCAACAGATGTTCTACACAACTGGTCTATACTCTTCAAAATGTGTCAGGGCTATGAAAGTCCCAGACTAAGGGAATGTTCCAAAGTGAAGGAGACTGAAGAGACATAAGGAGTAAATGTATACATGATCCTAGGTGGGATCTTGGATCAGAGAAGAAGAAAAGGACATTATCGGGTCAATTAATAAAGTTGGATTATGAACTGTAGATTAGATATCAATTTTAAATGGGTCTGCCACAAGAATTTTTAGAACACGCAATACCTGACTAGTCAGAGGCACTGACCTCTTTCCTTTATGTTGTCAAATAAAAAAGACAACAGCCAACACAACAATAGCCATTGGTATGAATGAATAAAAAATTCCATCTTTTTGTCAGAGTGGCAACTATAAAATCTTTTTTGATGAGCTGCAGAATTTTAGTAATTTATGTGTGCCATGAGATGAAAAAAGCTGAAAATCACTGGATTAGATAATAATATTGTATCCATGTTAAATTTCCTAAGTCTTATCATTGTACTGTGGTCATGTGAGAGCATACCCTTGTTCCTAGGAAATACAACCTGAAATATTCAGGGGTGAAGGAGCATCATGTCTGCAGCTTACCCTTGAATGGTTTGGGAGAAAACAGATATATATGTGTGCCTATGTATATATTTGCACACATAGAAAAAAACATTAAAGCAAATTCACTTTCTCCTGTTCTTGCAATACTTTTGCAAGTTTGAAATCATTTCAAAATGAAAAGTCCCTTAACACATTTTTTAATGGATGATTTTTTAACTTAAAAAAAAACATATATGTTTGTTCAGTTGACTGACTGATAGAAGAGACCTTAGGGATCATATAATTTATGTTTGCTCCAGCCCTACACAAATTTAGTTCAGAGATGAAAAACAACTAATCCAAGTCTCTTCTACACACACTATAGTAAATCCTCTCATTTGGACCCAGCCCAAAAGTCAGACCATGTAAGCATATTAGCAGCTGAACTGCTCCCTTTTTCAGTACAAAGTGTCCCTGGGTCAGGACCTACCAAGGAGGACTTCTACAGCCCCCTCACAGAGCGTTTCCAATAGATATGATTAATTGCTAATGAATCAGACTTCTGGTGACAGAGGGTAAGCAATATTCTAGGGAGTTGGCAAGAGTCAGTGGAGCCAGGAGACTGTCTTTGTGTACAGAGCATGCGTCTCCGAATGGAGCCCAGCTGTGCCGTTACCCTTTCTGCCGTGGAATTTGTGGTCATACTGGCAACACTGCATGGCTGCAGTGTGCACTGTGCTGTGGGATTATGCAGACGAACCTTAGGAAGTGGTGGTTAATCTGAACATACACTCTTACACATTCTTTACTTGATTCCCATGATAACTACACAATATTCACGACACATACTCATATTCCCATTTTCCTTATTAAAAAAAAACATATACAGCTTGCTCAAGATTCCATAGATAGTAATGGGAAAAATTTGAACTGGCGAGTTCTCATTCTGCTAGGCCATGTGTAAGGGTTTCACAGACAGAGCTTTCTCGGGTATTGGAAATCAAGGGGCTGGCCTCCCCCCAGGTCCAACCGCACAATCAATGGGCAGTTGTAAAGACCGAACCCCACAACCTCTCATTTTCTTCAGCTGTAAAGTGGGAGTAATACTCACCTACCCACAACATAGACATTACTGTGGAAATCCAATATAAATTTCAGAATGGTTCGATAGGTTAAAAGGCGCTATAAAACATTATTAAGCAGTATTACCGTTGTATAGCATTCTCTATACATTGCAAAAGCTTGGTGTTTTCTATGATTCAGAAAAGCAGATGATCATACCTCTTGTTTTGCTGGCTTTGGTGGCTTAGGCAGCCTGGAAGCTCTTGGCAGGGCTGCCTTACTCTGTCTAACGAGGGAGGCCGCTCTGGAATTTCTTAGATTGGTGTTCTCATAATCGCCTATATTCCAGGCAATTCGACCGCGGCTGAATCTTCCTAGCATATCCATAACATAAGGTTTTGGTTGCCTGAAATAGGAACAAATTGATCAGTTCTCAGATTGGAAGGGCCTACAAACAAGGTGACCAGTTTTCAAATAGTTGAGATTGGTCTATTTACCTTGTGATTTCTAGCCACGAAGCTTGGGAAAACTAACGTCCTGAGCCAGTGTTCTGAGAAGTTTCCAGGCCCTGCCCACTCACTTCACCGGACATCCGGCTGCTGGAGATGGGGAACTGCCGTAACCTAGGAACCTGACTGATGTATTCGCCCTTGTCATGAGTGCCCCTCATGTCCGACAGGCTGAGCATGCAAGATGCTGGGAAGTGGAAGGTAAAATACTCAGGCCGAGACCCTGTGAGACCCACAAGTTCTGCAGGACACAGTCTGCTCACCCTGAGAGCTCGGGAATTCAGGAAAGCACTGGCTCTGCAGTTCCCGACTCTGGCTTTTTGGACAGCATATTAGAAGAAAGATCTAGGCTTTATTCCCTTTCCCCAGGGAAATGATTTTCTAGGTTCCCACACCCTTAAATAGAATATTGTTCGAGAACTACCTTCCAGATACAAAGGGCCGGCTCAGAGGGGAAAAGACAAAGGACCAGTGGACAAGGATCTGCCATCCCATTCGGAAGTCTGTCGTCACTCTAGGGACCCTCTTGGGGCTTCTTACCCCACCATCCCTCTACCCGGATGCTCAGAGCCCCTTGGCCACTGCAGATTTCCCTTCCTTGATTCTGAGTTCTGTGGGTTCCCAAGTCCTTTGGATCAAGATTCATGGCAGGTCTGCATCACTCTCACTCAAGGCCATGTGCACACAACTATACCCAGCATAGGATGCAGCAGAGGAAATAGCAGTTTGGAACAAAGTTCATGTATCACAGAGCTTACATACCAGTGGGGGAGACAGACAATAAAAATAAGTCAGTCAAATATTTGGGAAGTACCATGGAGAATAATAAATCCAGATTAGGAATAGAAAATGCAGGGCATGCTGTTTTTGTGGGAAGCAGGAGAGGGGGAGGTAATGCTTAGGTCAAGAGCCAAACGAAGAGAGAGGCCGTGGATCCTCAAGGCACGCAGGGTCAGACACTCCCTTCCACCCCTGGAATCCCAGAACCCCGGCCTAGGGAGGAGACTGGCCCTCCCTCGGCGCCACACCCTCCCCAGCACTCCACAGCCTGCCGAATACAGTGCCAGCTCCCTAGCAAAGCACACAAGGGTGTGTGTTGTTGCTATTAGCTTTTTGTCTGTTTTCTCCCTCTTTTTTAAATGGTCTGCCCACAGGGACTTTTCTGGTCTGTTCTGCAGCCCCTCAGTCCTCTCGAAAATACACACACACACACACACACACACACGCACACACAGCTTCACAAGGAGCTGGGCTCTCAGACCTTCAGACTTCTGCTTCCACCGTTCTTTCTGCTGGTGGCTCCCTCCCTCCCTTCCTGACAGACTATAGCCAAGGCTTTAAATGGCACCGTTTCTGTGCAGACTTTCCTCGTTCCTGTCAGGCAGCACGTTCTCTCCTTCCACAGCATGTTACATGTGAATTCTTTTGTAGAAACTTAAATATATTAAATTTCCAGGACAGCAGGCTCTCTCCTCCAAACTCAGTGCTCCTTAAAGAGCCCAGAATATGTCTCATTCATCATCAGCTCCATCATCGATCGCTCCAGCCCCCGTTACCCTGCCTGACAGGTAGTTCACACTCACCTAACTATTCTGTGATGGATGGAGTAATCGGGGAGGGAGGGAGAACAAACACCAGGGCGGAATTTCTTTTTTTAAATTTTTAAAATTTAGTTCAATTACAGTTTCTATTCAATATTATTTTGCAGTAGTTTCAGGTGTACAGCATAGTGCTTAGACAATCCCATACTTTACAAAGTGTTCTTTCCAATATTTCTAGTACCCCCCACCCCCGGCATTACTTCCAAGGGGATCTACTCTCCCTCCCCAATGCCCTCCACTCGCCTACCCTGCAGCCTCCTCCTTGCCTCCCACCAGTGGCAGGTGTGAGGAATGGGTCCCTACAGTCCACTTTGTCTGAGTTTTCCCACAGTCCACTTTGTCTGAGTTTTCCTATTTACAAATGCAGATTAATAGCTGGGAATAGCCTCAAGAAAGTTTAAAGGGCAAAATAGCTAATGGTTAGAATGTGGGACAGGCATTGTTTATAGTTCACATTAGCTCGATTAATGGTTCATAGGAAAACCATTCCGTGCAAATGTGCCACATTTTCTCAAAAGTAATGTGTTATAGAAGTACTGATACTGAGTAGTTTAGGAAAATCCTTGCGCATAGTTTGTCTTCATTGAAGCACTAAGGTATTTTATAATCTTTTATTTTAAATTCAGACTATCCTATATCCCTGAATCTTGAATCACCAGGAGTAATGGCAAGTTAAAAATTAGTCGTAATCCAGATTTTAATGGTTTTATAGAAATACTAGCCATACACAGTATGGGGTATTATGCATACTATACTGAATTTAGAAATGAGCCACAGAAGTGAAAAGAGGTAAACCAAGAAGGAGAAGCTTGGGCTTCAGATGGAGTGGGGCTGCCTGGCTATCAGTAATGGTTCACTGTTAGTGCCAAATGCACAACAGCACACACACGTACACATGCACACTAAAACAAATAATGCAACCAAACATTCTTAGCATAACATTCTTACCATTAACTTTTAGTTTTTTTCTTTTTTGAAATAATTCCTAGCTTCTAGAAAAGTGGAAGCACAGTACAAATGCCGCTTTTCCTGAAGTATTTGAAGGTGTGCATTGCCATGATATCCATCTTCCCCAAATACTTGCGTGTGCCATTCCTACAAACAAGGACATTCAACAAAACCTCAATATAACCATCGAAATCAGAGGAACTCAGAAAATTCAGTTGTTTGAATTACTGCCATCTAGCCCTCAGACACCATTCACGCTTCGCCAGTTGTCCCTACAATGTCCATTCTGCAAAAGGATCCAGTTCAGAACGTGACTTTGCGTTTTCTCCCCTCAGTCTCCTCCAATCAGGACCCATGCCTCAGTCTTCCTGGGATTTTCATGCTGCCATGATGCTTCTGAAGAGCACAGACCAGTTATTTTGTAATGTCCCTCAATTTAGGCTTATTTTGTTCTTCTTGATTAGATTCAGGTTAGACGAATTCAATCAAGAATGACACATGATGGCCATGGTGTGACTTGTCCTGGTTCTGGTGCGGTTCACGCAGGTTGCTTGATTAAAGCAGTGTCTGCCAGGCCTCTCACCTATAAAATGACTTTTTCCTTTTGTTATTAGTATTTGTCAGGAAACACTTTGAAACTACGTCAGAAATCTCATCCTACACTCGATGCACAATTCATTCTTTTATTTGTATCAGTGCGGACTCATGGTTTCCTATTTTACTCAGTGGGGCTGTAATCCATTTATAATGTTCATTTTTTATGTTCAAGTTGTCCTAGATTTGGCTGGTGGGAGCTCTTTCAGTCTGGCTTCTGTGTCCTTTTGACATGACCTTGTCATTCTTTGAGCATTTTCTTACTTTTCAGCACAAAAAAGGTTCCAGGTTCATCTTTCCTCCCCGAGCTCCATGATAATCCATTTCTCAGAGGAACCCTAGTTCGTTTCATTGGAAGGTGGTATTTAGGACTCAAGACCTGAGTGCTGGGCAAGTCACTGTCACGCAGCCGTGGCAGACGGCATTCCACAACGTTCATCAGAGGATTCATTCTCATTCTCTTGTAGCTCATTCATTTGCAGCTCTTTCTGACGGTGGGAAATGTGCCTCTCCTCTGTTTGTATTTACTTATTCAGCCAGTCTTTTTGTCTGTAATTGATCTCCCATTGCTACCAGCCCCCTCCCTTACTTCTCATATTGCTTCATCTACATTTCTTTTGGAAGAGGCTTTCATTCTTGCTCCTTTACCATTAGTATTCCCAAGAATTCCCTGTGATTCTCATCTCTTGGTACACTACCACCCACCTCCAAACTAGGCAGGAAAGAGCATTTATATCCAAGGATCCGACCAACATTAACATGTGATGTTTAAAATTTTTTACTTGTAGCTCTACAATCTAAATTCCCAGCTTCTTACTGAATGTAGAGCCAGGATGTCTCATAGCTTTTAATAAGTTCTAGCATTTATTGAGATATGTGAGGTTCTAGACTCTGTGCTGTTTCGTGTGTATTACCTCTAATCTTCATAATAAGCCCACATGATAGGTATCATTTCCTAGCTTTTGCACCTGAAATTAAATTGAATAATCCTTTTATCCCAGATCAAACAGATACAAAGCAGTAAATCTAGGGTTTGAACTCAGAGTTGTCTGATTCTAAACTTATGCAATTACTTCATCTGTAAAATGGAGGTAATACTATTATAATACCTATTCTTTTTTTAAAATTTTATTTATATTTAGTTTTAGAAAGAGAAGAAGGGAGGGAGAAAGAGAAGGAAAGAAGTATCAATGTGTCATTGCCTCTCATGTGGCCACCACCAGGGACCTGGACCTGGCCTGCAACCCAGGCATGTGCTCTGACTGGGAATTGAACCGACGACAACCCTTTGGTTCGCAGCCCGTGCTCAATCCACTGAGCTATACCAGCCAGGGCTAATACCTATTCTTTATGAGGACTAAATGAGCTAATACTTATAAAGCACTTAAAATAGTATCTGGCCCATAGTAAAAATTCAGTAACTGTTGACTATGTCATCATTATAGGATGCTGCCTCTCACCTCATCTCCCCATCGCACTGCTTCCTCCCCCGTCTGCCCGAAGATGCCCTCTCCTTCCTCTATTTGCTGTTTTGGACAATGACATAAGCATATACCCAGCCTCTCAAAAGACATAGCAGAATTGCTTTTGACTTTCACACCTGCTCCTTCCCTCCACGTGTGGCTGTTTGCCAAGTCTCACTGAGGCCTTTTCAAACTTTACCACTGTCAACTAATTCAGGCTCCCATCACTGCAGTTGTTCCAATATCACTTACTACGTCTTCCTTCCATCTCTTCTCTGCTCCATCCACGCC